GTGCAAACCATGTGCCTTCCCTCTCGAAACAAATCATAAGCTTGCAGTTACAGAAAGTCCTCCATTCTCGGATCCCGCACGTTATAGAAGACTCATAGGACGTTTAGTTTACTTGACAATTACGAGACCTGAGTTAAGTTACTCCGTCCATGTTCTTTCCCAGTTCATGCAAAATCCTACTATTGCTCAATATGATGCTGTCATCCGCGTTTTAAGGTACATCAAAACTGATCCTGGCCAAGGTTTACTCCTTCGATCCAACAATGATCTCCTTCTTCGTGGATATTCTGATTCGGATTGGGCTAGCTGTCCACTCACCCGTCGATCAGTTACTGGTTATTTTATCATGTTGGGTACTTCTCCTATCTCTTGGAAAACAAAGAAGCAACCCACAGTGTCTCGCTCCTCCGCTGAAGCTGAGTATCGTTCAATGGTAGCAGCTACAGCTGAGTTGTTATGGATCAAATCGTTTCTGGACTCGCTTGATGTTCCACATTCACACCCTATGCAGTTGCACTGTGATAACCAATCTGCCATGCAAATAGCTGCTAATCCAGTTTTCCACGAACGTACCAAACATATAGAGATTGATTGTCATTTTGTACGCGATCATGTTCTCAGCAATACAATCACTACTACCTATGTTCGTACAGATCAGCAACTCGCAGACATATTTACCAAACCGCTTGGCATGAAGCAATTCAGTTTTCTTCGCAGCAAGTTGGGCATTTCGTCACTTCATGCTCCAACTTGAGGGGGCGTGTTAGGAGAAGATCACCTTTGATCTTATCCTTTAGCAACTAAGTCCTAGTTTTTAGCAAGAATAGTTTGTTATTATTCTATGTATAGTTTGTTGAACAGTATATTTTATTCTAGTTGATCCTCCTTGATTCTGTATAACCGACTTGTGTATATATTGGCTATCAGCCATTTCATTAAATATAACAACATATTCAAATCCTCTTAGTTTTCTATAGAAACGTCTTTTTTTTATTTCTCTAATACCCCTCTCTCCGTTGTTTACCTTCAATTTGAGGACCATAAAGTAGAAGTCCCCCAATTTTTCACAGATGCCATCGTAAATAAGCCACAATCCAGAGTGTATAGAAGTGCGAGCTCCTTGTCATTAGCACACCACCAAAATGAGTCACCAGCACACGACCAAAATGCTTTATGATGTGCTGGGTCGAAACTCCATTGATGCAAGGAACAGAAAGAGAGCGAGGGGAGGGGGTAATTTTGTCCCAAAAAGTTTCAAAAAAATTTCCAAATTTTCCCATCGAGTGGGATTCCAAAAATACCGTCCTCTAGTTGATATTTTGGTTTAGAAAATGGGTTTTATTAATCTCATTTTAAATAAGATAAGTTATCTCATGTCATAGAGAAAAATTTGTGGGCTCCACCACCTGAAAAAAAAAAAGAAAAAAAAAATGTGGCACAGTTATCAAAAGGTGTGTAAGAGAAAAATTTACCACATGTAACATAAGAGTAATTTTTTCCTTAAAAAATACATAAAAAAATAGAATCCCGAAAAATCACTTTCCCCCTGCCAAACACCCCAACTTATTGAACTCAGGAATCAATATAGACTAATCTTTCATAATTATTATATTTTATAGTAAATTCCATTTATATAAACATATGAATCTCTCACATGCTTTAGACTTAACTCTTTCACCATATATGAAATTATCGCAGATATAACATAAAATCATTGAAAACTCATTATTTACCAATTTAAATTTTTGGGTGAATTAATTATTTTACATGGTATCAAGTGTAATGTCCGGCCGCTTCAAGAATCAATGATTATCCCCACATACTAACACGAGACGTTTCAGTGTGCTTTTTCCCCACTCGCACACTTCTTGAGAAAACTTACCAGGAGGTCACCCATCCTAGAATTGCCCCAAGTCAAGCACGCTTAACTATGGAGTTCTTCCGTTCCGGGCTACCGAAAAATAGATGCATAGTACCAATTAATTCTTATAAGCTATCACAAACTGTGCAGTCTCTCATACCTGCACAGTCTTTGGAATCCCTCTTTTTCGGTTGTCGATTCGATTCATTCGTACATGTAACCCGCTTGAAGACTGTCAGGAGCCGCTCCTTGTCCATGCCCTTTCGCACCGGCGATCACTTCCCGCCTTCGTTAGCGCTTGAGATGTTACATCAGAGCCATTATAATTACAAATTCACAAACTCGATTCTCAATGCCACACTTTCTAGTAGAATTAAATTAATACAAGATAGAATAAAAAATGAATTTGTACAATATGCATGTTTCAAACACCAAAACACTCATTTATAAAGAGGGTGTTTTAGAAAAATATAATATAAAAATATTAAAAATCTATCACTTATCGGCCTAACCTGACTTAACCTTTAGGTTGAATCTGTTGTTTACAACCACTCTTAGAATTGAAAGCCCAAAGTTTTTTTTTATATATATTTTTTGTTTCTTCTGGTCTCCCACTGAAAGTAACAAGTTTTTCATCTTTATTAGCGTTGATTTCTCTCTTCCTATCCTGAAATGATATTTTCATGCATCTTTTTCATAATCATGTTGATCCCCCAGAATCCAAGTCTTCCACGTTAGGAGCTACCTAAGAGAAAAGACATGGCCATCTGGCCTCATTCAGCACAAACATCTTTTCATTCGCTTTGGCCTGTTCTTATAATTCAAAATTCAGCCCCTCGTTCCCAAAGTTTTGCCTTCCAATCATATTCTTTCATTGTTGGGGTCTGAAAACTTTTTTTTTTTTGGAGTTACTCAACCCTAATTATTCCTTTTTGAGACGAGTTGGCTCCCTCCGGTATCCTGGTGAAAACTTTGATTAAAACAGTGTAATTAAAAGATAACAGGAAAAAAAGTGCATCTTTTGTTATTTTTTTGACCTCAGCAACCAATATGGAAAGAAAAAGATCACCGCCGTTTATTCTGGGGAACAAAAAGAATTTGTTAGGATTCTTTTATGATATTTTTTCATGGAAAATCAAGGCAAGCAGGGTCCAATGGCCCAAATTGTGCTTAATTTGGGAAGCACATTGACAAATCAAATGGTAACTCGCAAGTAACATATGGCAATTCAAACCTGGAAGGGTAGCTCACTTGTCAAGTGAGTATTCAAGGGATTGCTTTGCTTAAGGGTTCAAACCTTGGCTAAAGTAATTTCTTGGAATTTCTTGAGGACAAGAGGAAAATCATATCCTCTTCGAAAGGGGATTACTCTCACTCTTCCTCCGATAATAGTGGTCCATTACACTCTTTCCTTCGAGAATGAGTTAGCTTTAGGGCAGTATTCCGAGGGTTAAAGTGATTGGAGGAGATTGAGTGAAGATACCTCCAAGTTACTTATCAAAAAAAAAAAAACATGGCAATTGCTTACAGTGAGAAATATATGATTGTCAAAGAGCGTGTAGCACATTCTCACGTTTTGTCCTTCCTTACAGTGAGCATGGGAACAACTTAAGTGGCAGGAAGTTATCTTTCTCTGTCTCCATTTGATTTACAGAATTGTCATAGCTAGGAATCCCCTTTGCGTAAAATGCAGCTAACTATGCCTACAACCAATTGCATTCAAAGTCCAATGAAATGACACCCCTTTGTGTTTTAAACGTGAACTAAATGCACTTGTGCCAAGTTCCTACATTCCACCCCCTTTCCTTGGTTAACAGCTAGGTGGTGTCAGGGAATTTTTCCTCCCTGATTTATGTCTAAAGCAATGGTTTTCATATAATTTTCAGAAATGTGACACTTGGCCATCTACATGAGCATAGATGCTGCTAATCGGAACGTCAAATGCATTCAAAGTGACATCCCTTTATGTTTTAAGCGTGAAAATGCATTTGATTTTGCAAAAGATTTAATTTTGATCCAACCATTCACACTCTCACTCAAACATAAGTCACAAAGAGCAAAAATATCACTCTTTTAACAATTTGTCACATGATTAAGTAGTAGTTTTACTCTAGTATAAACTATTATGTGCTGTATCCAAAAAAAAAATTATATTCTATGTCAAATACTTATATTTCAAGTAGCTTCCCTGGTTTTATAAAAGCCCACAGCTTGTAAAGAAAAGAATGAAGCCCACAGCTGCCGTTATTTTGCACTTCGGAGACATTTTACCTAATTTTCATCTTGTTGTTATTGGAATATTCAAATGTGATAAAGTCTCACATTAGTTGGTAATAAGCTAAGTGAAATTCATGTAAGTGACAATAATTTAAGATTTTGGGTTGAAATATAATGTTAAACTCATTTGCTTCCTAGCCTACCTAACTCTAATATCAGAGTTAAGTTTCACTCAGCAATGTAAATTTTACACTTAAGGAGAAATTGTTAGAATATTCAAATGTAATGAGTCTCACATTAATTGATAATTTATGAATTGAAAGAACACATGAACTCTAATGCTCGACGACATATATGAATATGAGTTAAACCATTCCTAATGCTAACCATTACAATACCTGAATACCAATCCACAAAGTGGCCCTCTTTACAGGACATACATCAGTTAACCAATTCCTAATGCTGACCATTACAATACCAACCCGCAAAGGGGTCCATCTAGCCAAAATAAATGAGAAGCACGCATAAAAAGCTGTTTATGCTCGACTGAGTACACCATGTGCATATTAATTTTCTTTGCTTCTTTCTATTAAGATGATATATTTATATATTAACTCGGTACACTATATGCATATCCCGCAATATTACATGAAATTGACAAAACATTCAAAGAGGGAAGAAATATAATATACTGCTTATTTTACATTTTCCTATTGAAACAATATTTCTAACTCTTTGTTGCAACATCTAATTTGATGACTTTGCAAGGTTACTGGGCGTGGTACGCTTTTGCACTTTGTATCAATAATGATGTTACATACATGACAACTTCACCAAAGCAAGCACAGTTCTTCCTTCTCCCTGTAGGAAAATGTCAAGATGAATAGAAAATTAGTAGCCTGGAAAAGCAAAGAGTAAGCGATCAATCTCCATAAAAATTGGGATCCTTTGGGGATGTTATCTTCCCTCCTAATCCTGCCTGGCGCATCATCTCTGCAATATACATTTACCATCATCAGGTTTCCAGAAAATACTACATTTTAAAATTCATATTAACTCTTACAAAAATAAAGAGAGAAATTAAGAAAGGCATGACAAATTACAAGTCATGGTTCTTAAACTGCTTTAAATTCAGAAATATGCTCATCTAGTTCAAGATAAAACGTATTGTCAGCAAAATTTAGCAAAGACACATGTGCTTTGCAGTGCGTTTCAAATAGAACATCTGAATTTTCTTTTTTTAGCAAATCAAAAGAAAGAAAATAAGTCCAGAAGATCCTTTTCTAGTAATAAAGAAGGCACCTGCTTTAACCCTTTTTGCAAATTACCTCTCTGTTTTAATTTTGGCAATTTACTTGCTTGAAGTTTTTTAAGTCCTTCATTATTTTTCCCCAAATTTTTATTATTACGATAACCAAGTTTCGTACAAGGAATCATTTGGTTAGAAAAAAGAAAAAACAAACATAATTATGAGTTTGCCAGTACTAAAGTATAAAAGATGAATCAAAATAGTAAACGGCTAAATGCTTAAAGTTCTGGGCAATTTGCTAAAACTAAAACTTTAGGGAGTAATTTACTGTAAGTGTAAAATTAAAGCGAGTAACTTGTAATTGACATAAAAAGAATAAATGCTGAAGAAAAGTTGCATTAGTAATTAAAGATCCATTTATAGTATATTAAAAAGTTGTAAGGTTTGTGCAAGGTGAGTATCATCCAAGGTTTGTGCATTAGTAATTAAAGATCCATTTATAGTATATTAACAAGTTGGAAGGTTTGTGCAAGGTGAGCAACACCCAATGATGTTTGCACATCTAGGAGGAATACAAACCAAAAATGTAATCAGTTCCAAACTCCCACCTGCACTCCAGCTGATGGATTGGTTCTTTAACGAAATTGAATATTTCAGATATTCTGTACTCTAATATTTCCCCTTCAGTTCAACTGTCCAAAATTTTCAAAAACTAGTTTAAACTGAAAACTTATTGTATTAGGACTGGCCTTTAGGCTAAAAGGTAAACGCCCTATAATAAGAAAGTCAAACTCTCAATTGAGAATTTCATAGGGCCAAGTTCATTTGGTATGGACATGAATTTTGTAATCTCTTCCAATTTCTTTTCAACATTTCCAATGCCTGCCCCATTCTTTGCTGAGAAGAGATAAAGAAAGTTCTTCAGGTTTATTTTCTAATCTGTCATTGGAGCTAAGTAAGGGTGCACAAAAAAACCAAAAGAACTAAACTATTTTGTGAACTGAATTGCACTCACTTAAAAGAACTACTTTTCATGAAACCAGTTCATGAATCGAATTTAAAGCCCGAACTAGTTTTATTTTTCTTCTCTTCTTTTCATTTATTTTTCTTTTTTCCTCTTTATTTCTCTTCTCTTATTTATTTATTTTCTATTTTTAATTTTCTTTATTTCTTTAGTTTCTTTTTCTTTTTTCTCTTATGTATTTTTCTCTCTTATTTATCTTTATTTTTAATTTTTATTACTTTTTTTAACTTCTAGTATCATTTATATATTTTTAATCTTTTTTTCCTTCAATTTTTTTTTACTTTTCATTTGAGTTCAGAACTGATTTTAAAAATAAATTTTGAACTGATTCAAAACCAATACAAAACTGATTCTAAACTGAACTGATTTGAAAAAATAAACTAGTTCAGTTCTCCAAACAGATCTTTTTTTTTTTTTGGTTCAGTTCAATTCGGTAAAAAAAAATCGAACGAACTTAACTGTGCACAGTGCACACCCCTAGAGCTAGCTCAATGATAGCTCATCATGCAGCTGACCAAATAGCAGGAAAGAAATATAGACTCTTTTAAGACAATTTTAGTATTTACATAAATATGTTATAAGCATGGGGATCTAGTATTTGTAAACCCCCCTAAGGCTATTCTAAATGGACAAATAAATATACCAGTCCTCATACCTGCAGAAAAACAAGGCATTACATTTTTGCAATTGTCAGAGAAAACGAAAAACTCACCTCGCTTCCATTCAAGTTCTTCAACAAGTTCTTCTTTCCATTTCCTTTGTCTCTCAGAAAAGCTTGAGCTGCAGGTGAAAAACATTGTCTTTAATTTCGGTATGCAGGTAGATTAAATAAAGGTGCAGCCACTGTCAAGCACCAGATACATACCTAACACTAAAAGATTCCAGCTCAGTATCGTGAAGAGTCTCCTTTGATTCATTGAGCTCAGATGGTTGAATTTCCTGCAAAGGTCGACTGTGAGCACTACTAAGCTTTGATTGATATTTGTTGTGACTCCCAAGGCTTGCAACATTGGCACTGCCAGCGATTGAGATTCGTCTCCAAGCCTCACTTGGAGACCTGCCTTTTGATGTTAAATTGGAGACATCGGAAACAATTTTACTCTGTGCAACTGCAACAGGTGCAGGAGCAATGGCTGCATTTGATATGCCAAAGAATTCTTCATAAAGAGGTGTTTGGAGTTTCTTCAGTTCGAAGGCCTAATGTGATTCATTAAAGAAAAACAATTGTTTTTAATTTTAACCATGCCAGATTTAAAGAAAAAGGCAAACAAAATAAAAATAATGACCATCTAATAATACTATATTGAAATTTGAAAGTCAATAAATATATGGTCTCATACAAAAATAGAACCTTATCATCTAGGAAAGCTCTAATTTTGAACTCTGTGACTTCATCATCCTCTTCAGCTCCTAGAGGCTCACTTGAAAATGAGAATTCATTCTCCGCCTTCTTAGATGGTTCGTGACTTCTCATAATTTTCCCAATAGTTTGATCCGGAGACAAGTTCGTTATGCTTTTCTCCAAATTTAGATTTTCATCAAACTTGCAAGGCCAGTCATCCACAGGTTCGCACATAGGAGTGAAACTCTATTCCAGCGAATATATCAGCCCAGTGTTAAACAAACACTCTTGAAACATCTAAAACAGTGGAAGAATGAAAACAAACTTGGCACCTTTATATCATCAGAAGCAAATAGAGATTTAGATTTTACTGATGAAACAACCGAAAAAGCATCTTTATCATCCATCTGACACATGTCATCATCATAGTTGTCTGCTCCCTGGTAGGAACCTGCTTTTAGAAAATTTGAATGATATACAGTCGAGAACCGTAAGTTATCCATCCGACAGACATCCTTAAGGCCCGTGCAGGTTGATCTCCGGACAGAATCCAAACTGCAGAACCAATATGGTACCCTAAGTTAATCCTCCAAATCCATGAGAAGTTCCACAAACAACGGATGATATACTTACAAGTTTCTAGAGTTCATCCCATATGTTGCCATCTGATTGCAAGAGTCCTGACAGCGGAAAAATAAACAGTTCATAAAAAGTAAGAAAAGTTATGCTCTATGTTTCCATCATATAAATTAACAATGGGGGACACTAACCCTGATTGAACTGCGTAACATTGAATGAGATTCCAGATACTCACAGGTGATGAATGGATGCTGCAGATAATAGAAAGAATCACTAGAGATTATCAAGGAAAAACTAAGCCAAGTTAAAAAAGCAAACGAATTTGAATGTACATCATAATTTAAAGCTAAGTTGGCTGAATAGGAGAAAAATGTGCAAAATACCAGTAACAAGTCTGACGCAGAAGGCCTTAAATTTGGTTCCCTGCCACCATAAATTGATGGTTTTAAAACTCAAATTATCTTATATTAACACCCTCAACCTAAATGTCAAACTGGATCACTGGCCTTTTCAAAAACAAATGCAGTCAGAATAAAATAGAGACATCATAAAAAAAGAATGGTAAAAGCATAATATATACGTACTTCCGGAAGCATTTAAGCAAAAAGTCCTTGGCCTCAGCAGACAGATGTTCAGGTATGGGTGGATGAGATTTAGTTGTCCCAATGTAGTAAAGAGCCGAAATCTGAAAGAAAGAGAAATTTAAGCAAAAACATTTCAAAGAACCAAATCAGAGAGAGAGAGATCAACTTAAGAGGCTTCAAGCACGTACCTCGTGGGGATACTGTTGACTCCACGGAGGCTTTCCTGTGGCCATCTCTATCACAGTGCATGCAACACTCCATATATCAGTAGAGCTAAGAAATCACAAGTTAGATGCAATCCCAAGAATCGTTTATATCTCTAATAAAATCTAAAGACCCAAATGAAGGAAAATAGGCCCATCAGTTTGTCCACTATTAAATGATAGGGTTTAAAGCACAATCACAAATTCCATCAAATAGATAAACTGAAGTTTACGAGAAATTATCAAACATTATTCCTTATGTAGCATAGTTCAGGTTTTTCGATAATTAAAACAGGACTGACGAAACTTATTCCTACAATCAACATTTACAAGTTTGATTCTTATCCATTTGCCGGGCTTTTACCATGATTCCCCAACAATTTCAGTAAAAATAGCGCAAGACAATTTCACACATTGACTCAAATGTTTTTGTTTTCCTCAAAAATTCATGTCCAATAAAAAAAAAAAAAACTTCTAAACACATATTTCGTGAGTCAGACAATTTTAAAAAAACTCGAATCGTTACATATGGAAGTTTAGTCCTGAATGTAGATCCTTAAATAGGTTATGCAGTGATTAGAGGTGGCGTTGGATGTTCATGGTGGGGAGGGTATGGAACATTAAGCCGCAAGTTAAGGCCAGTATCAGGCTTTATTTACTCCCTCTCACTTCACGCAAAAAGCAGAGAAAATACTCTTCTAAAGGAAATTCTTCCACACTCTGTATGGTCTCTCTTACAAGCTTGCTTTGTCTCTTCTTTTTTCTCTTGCTTTTAACCAAAATAACTTCAAAGATATGCCCTAGGACTTGAGAAAAACGTGAGAATTATGGGATCTATTCCATTAGAAATGATTACATTTTTCCATTGGGAAATGATATTTACCAAAGAGATAGACACGCTTAACTTAGGTCTATTGAATAGGAAAAAAAATTAATTTATTGCTTTTTTAATAAACAATTATGCAAATGTAGTTGTTTTGAAACTATTTATGCAGGTATAGCAGTCAAATACGTCCCATGGGGTGTGACCCAGTGGAGAGAGACATGCTCATGTGGGGCGTGAGTCATACAAGAGACACGCCCAACAGGGGCATGAGTGGTTTGGAGAGAGACACTCCCCATTTGAGCGTGACCCAGGAGAGAGACACTTCCCATTGGGGAGAGAGACACTTCCCATTGGGGCGTGTTTCACCAGGTGCTGCCACGTGTCACAAGAGTCGACAATTTGACCGTAAAACTTTGGAAGTCCATAACTTTTGACTCGAGTGTCCGAATTAGGTATTTTTTTTATTCCACATAACTTTTCGAGATCTACGTAATAACACCTCATTTGGCATATTTTGTCTGTCACAAAAAAATTGAATTTACAACAATGATACCATTAGAACGTTTGAACCCAAATTAATAAGAAAGTTTAAAAGATAGGAGAAGGTTATAATTACTACCTCTTTATTAATTTGGGTTTTAACCTTCTCCTTTCTCCTAATTAAAAAGTGGTTTTCTCTTTATTAATTTGGGTTTAAACGTTCTTATTGTATCATTGTTGTAAATTCAAATTTTTTTTGTGACAGACAAAATATGCCAAATGAGGTGTTATTACGTAGATCTCGAAAAGTTATGTGGAATAAAAAAAAATTACCTAATTCGAACACTCGAGTCAAAAGTTATGGACTTCCAAAGTTTTACGGTCAAACTGTTGACTTCTGTGCCACGTGGCAGCACCTGGTAAAACACGCCCCAATGGGGAGTGTCTCTCTCCTGGGTCACGCCCAAATGAGAAGTGTCTCTCTCCAACCGGTCACGCCCATGTGGGGCGTGTTTGACTGCTATACCTGCATAAAAAGTTTCAAAACGACTACATTTGCGTAATTATTTATCAAAAAAGCAATATATTAATTTTTTTTTTGCCCTGTTGAATAGGCTTATTAAAGCATGTGAAATGTAACAAGGGTAGAGGTACATATTGCTAGAATGGTACGAGGGAGCTCAAAACTCTTTTGCAAGGGATACTTCCACTAATGGGTCAAATCATAAACCAAAATAAGTGGGTTGATACCACATAACAATTCAAAATCTTAAGACTGCAAGTCTTTTGACTTATACGGTTCTCACTTTATTCATTTCTAACCGATGTGGGGTTGTTACGAAGTTCAAAATTTCCCTGATTCAAAGAAAATGTATTGAAAAGGGAAAGAAAAAAAAACATTGTTATTAATTGCGGCCATGCTATAGCGGTAGAACCCCTATAGCCAAGTCCACAAAAATTACTCAAAATTAAAGACATTCATAATTAATTTTATTGTCACTTTGATTCCAAACAAGGATTCAAAGAACATAAATTCATTAAAAAGAACTAAATTAACAAAACATAGTTATTAATTGCGGCCATGCTATAGCGGTAGAACCCCTATAGCCAAGTCCACAAAAATTACTCAAAATTAAAGACATTCATAATTAATTTTATTGTCACTTTGATTCCAAACAAGGATTCAAAGAACATAAATTCATTAAAAAGAACTAAATTAACAAAATTCAAGGACCATAAGGAATGAGCTAAATATTGTCAAATACGAATTTCCATAGTCTATTTCAAATGCAAGGAAGGAATTATTCAAAATCATCATTGCCACCATCTTCTAAGTAGTTTTCTTCATCCTCACTTTCACTGGTACTAAAGTTGTATATTTGTTCCTCCTCTTCTTTCATCACCACCTTCACTTTCCACACCCTCTTTTTCCTTTCCCCTCATCACCACCATGTTGAATTGTAGAATACATCCAAGTGGGAGTGTTATAAAATATTATGGATGACCCTTCACATGGTTCATAACATGTTACTCTTTGTTTTTTGTTTTTCATGACCCTTGATGTATTCTACAACCATCACACTGATGGTGTGTTGAATTGTAGAATACATCCAAGGGGGAGTGCTGTAAAATGTTATGGATGACCTTTTACATGGTTCATAATAGATGACTCTTTGTTTTTCATGACCTTTGATGTATTCTACAACCATCACACTAATGGTGTGTTGAATTGTAATTATTCTCCTAATTATGTTTAGAGTCCTGTATAAGGACGTATCTTAGATGGAAAAAGTAATATTTGGTAATACATAATATAATAATATTTCATTACCTTCAAGAGTTCATATTTGTTCTTATCTTATTCTTCCTTCAATTTTCTTTCTACACTTTATTTTCCTTTCTTTCATATTTCACTTTATCTTATATTCTTCATCAAATTCACAAAAAATTTTACTTATATTATATTTATAAATATTAAAATTTATATAATTTTTAGTTTTTTAAATAATTAAAATTTTGATAAAGAAAAAAGTTTGGCCCTAAATTATAGGACTTTAAGGATTAGGGCTAAAAAAGACCCTACCACAAAAATGTCCTACCACAAAAATGCACTAATGGGTTAGGGCCAAATATAAGACTTTGCGAGCTGACTCGCAGGCTTCAGCCCATTTTGACACCTCTATCAGAAACAGAAAAGTTCTCGGTCCTTAAATACATAGAATTGAAGGGCAAAAGAAAGAATATGAGGACAAGCTCACGTAACCTACCACATTCATTAACCCCCTTAAGTCTATCTTTCTATTTCTAATTTCCAAATATTATAACGAATTGAAGTTTGTAATTGTTGTGACATAACAGTGCAGACCTCAATATAAATACAAATACAATCTGAAAATTTTCCTATAACAACCATATCATACGAAATCCTTAAAGTATTTCCACTAAGGAACTTTATTGTGACAAATGAACCTTCAGGAGTACTTGATCTGGCCACTGTGGTCCTTTTTTTTTATAATAGTAGTTATACACTTACATTGTATGTCCTGTCTGTAAAATTACTTCAGGAGACATCCAATGCGGGGTACCCTTTATTGACTTCGCAGCATTTATAGCCTGTGTATCATTCCACATACTTCATATGTCATGGCCACAAACAAAGTTACACAAGAAGCTTGCGAGAGCAAAATGAAATAACAACATCAACAATGTCATACCAGTTCAACAACTTTCTTGGATGCACCGAAGTCTGCAAGTTTGATGCAGCCTTTGTTATCAACTAGAATGTTTGCACCCTATATACAGCAATGCATCGACCAATATGAGAGAGAGAGAGGGACCAAGACAGAGAGCCTTTTAAAATTAAAAATAAAAGCATAGTACCTTAATATCCCTGTGAATAATGCCATTATTATGAAGGTATTCAAGGCCCAGTAAAAGCTGTTTTGTATACATTTTTATAACCTGTTAAAAAAGAGTTGAACATAAAGCAGCAAAAGAATTACAACCCATTAGAGTCTTTATGCGTTTCATAAAGTTAAAAACACTTACGGACTCGGGGAAGGATCCGAATTTCCCCAAGAGTGATGAGATAGATCCACCAGGTACAAACTCCAGAAGAATATTTAAGGAATCCTCCTCTCTAGCAATTCCCAAGTATCTCTATAATAAATAACAAAGAAAAGGGGGGAACTGATTATTTTATATAGCAGCAAGCATTCAAAATCACTCAAACTCACATAATAAGACTATACTCACTACAATATTTGGATGCTTGAGATTCTTGAGAAGCTTCACTTCTTCTTCGAGCTCCCGAATATTTGCCTGATTCAATGAGGTAGAAAGAGATTTGTCATATCAACATAATACACTGCCAGCTTACATGAAATAAGAATAGTACTGCTTCTTTATATATAGGACAGGAACTGGTGCATTATCACTTAAGTCACAAAATGACCGATAAAAAAGCACTTTCAAGAAGCTCAACAGAGAAACCAAAACATGAGAATCTAAGCCATAAATTAGGAAACTAGTACTAGAAAATCACATAAAATTAAAATCCTATCTATACCTGCGTATTCTCGTCGGAAGCGCTACCAGGAGCGATCAAAACCTAAAAAAAGCAAGAAACAAGAAGCAAAAGGTTCAACAATTCGCAAACACTCGAAGAGAAAAGAAAAGGCGATGAAATAGACCTGTTTGATAGCAATAAGCTCCCCGGAGTCAAGGTTCATGCCCATGTAGACGCGACCGAAGGCACCGGAACCAATCAACTCGCCTTTGCGCCACCGGATGGGAGGGGCGGGAAGTGGCGGAGGAAGAGGCTTGAGGCCTAATCGCGATTTTCGAATGGCAGAGCCAATCTTGTCGGCGATTCCATCGTCCCTTTGTCTGAAAACAAAGGATCGACGAACGGAGCCGAAAAACTCTTGCATCTGAGAGAGAGAGAGAGAGAGGCTTGTGGTTATGGGCAGGGTTTGGTGTTCATTTGGGAAAAGAATGTGCAAATGCAAAATTTGAAGGAGGGAAAAGGAACCACATGATGAGCTTTTCAAAATGATGTTTGTGCTTCCTAACCTAACGGTTGTTTATTTTCACTTTTGACTTGGACGAGCATGAGTGGCCCCACTATTTTAAAGTTATTTTTTTAATTTTTTTTTCTTTTGCCATTAATGGCCTTTTCCATGACAATGTATTAGGGGTGTTCGCGGTCTGGATTGGATCGGTTTTGGAAGCAAAAATCATCTGATCCAATCCCTTCGGTTTGATCATGTAATCATCCATTCGGTTTGGATTTTTTTTCAAATCCGATCCGATCCAATCCAATTTTTTTCGGTTTGGATTGGATCGGTTTTCGGTTTTTTTAAAATCCTAAAATTTGTTTCATGATTATTGTGCAAATAACATCTTTTGTATATATTGACTTTGTAATTTTATTTTTTTTAAATACAAAAGCATCATTAGACGATAATATAGTTTTTTCTTTTTTGGACAATGAGATATGAAGCTCTACACAAATTAAATTTTGTTAATGAGATGTGACTAGGTTTTTTCTTGGGTTTAGTTGATGGTTAATGGATCTTTGGTTTAGAAATTTTTGGGCTATGATTGAAAAAAAACTCAAGTAGGTAGAGAGAAATTAATATATTGGATCGGTTTGGATTGGATCGGTTTTTATTAACCCATCCGAAAACCGATCCAATCCAATTAAAATTTTCGATTTTTTCGGTTTTTGATTTTTTGGTTTTCGGTTATCGATTTTTCGGTTCGGTTATTGCGGTTTGAATCGGTTTGGATCGGTTGATGAACACCCCTACTCAGTAGAAAAAAATTAGATATTAAAATGGTCTTCCTTTTTTTTCAGTGAAGGTCTTCCTTTAATAAGATTTAAGTAATGAAATCTATTCAATACATACACTAAATAATCACGCCATTTAACAAGGAGGAATGAATACGACGAGTGGAAATTTTTGTCATATATCAACAATAACAATTGGTTCAGGTGAAAATGATTTTATTTTTCTTAAAAGATCTCGAGTTTAAAGGGAGTATTTGGTATTGGAGAAATTTTTTATTATTGGAAAAAAAAAATTTGGAATATGATGAGAAATTTTTGTGCCCGGGTAAGTTACAAAAAGGTGTTTGGTAGGCGAAAAATTTGCCGAAAAAGTTAGGTTATTTTTACTAATGCTTTGTTTGGTTGATGATGAAATATTGATGGGAATATGTAATAAAATTACAAAATTATCTAGACTTTTTCAGACAATTTGTACTTGATATAGATTTTTTGAGGGCATTTTGTCTACAAATAGTAAAAGGTGTTTCTCCATTCTTGGATTTAAAAAATACCCCACTTCAAATGACCATTTTTTTTCCATTGCCTAGTTCAAAACAAAAGTCATGGGAAGAAAAATATACCGATTTTTTATAACTTCAAGACATACCAAACATGGTTAACATATTTTGCCTACCCTACTTTTTCAACATTCCTATTAAATTCTCTATACCAAACACCCCATAAGGTAGTGTTTGGTATAGGTTTTTCGAAAATATTCTCAGTCATTCATCGTTGGTAAATGTTGTTGTCCTTGTTTGATAGAGGATTTTATAAATTTAGCCTACAAACTCATGTGCCTATCAAACATCAACCATGTGAAAAAGAGAACAAATGCACTCTTCAACCTTGCCAATTGCAATATGGTATTTGTAGAAAGCTATGCAAATGGAAAAAAGTGGACTTGTATAGTGAATTTTTTACCCTCGTTGGACAGTACATGTGTGGACTTTCAAAAAGTGGACAATACATGGTGACTTTCAAAAATTTGGAACCATGCTTCTAGTTCTTTTACCTTCAAAATAATAATAATAAAGGTTATTTTTGTCATTTCAACCTATTTTTTCATCACTCTTTTTACTTCAACCAAACACAAACTCATAAAATTTAATCTAATTTTTCTAATAAAATTTTGACCAATCAAACAACTTTTTGTAAACTTTCTTACCAAACTTATTTTCTTATCATATACCTGATAAATGTATTTACCTGGTAAAAAAAATTTATCTCCTCTACCAAACGCCCCCTAAGGGAATGTTTGATTGAGTTATGTAACTTTTTTTTTAATTTTAAATAATTAATGAAATCAATATTTTTTGTATTTTTTTTTAAAAAAAAAAGTTAAAACTTAAAATAAAAATAACTGAAATGTATTCTTTAAATTTGATTCTAAAAATTAAATAATAATTATAATTTTTAGGGAATCTTATAACCTTTTATTAATAATTAATTATCAAATTGACCTTCATTTAAAACTATTTCGAAAATTTAACCTCCCCAACAAACATAACACCAATCTGCCAATGTTTGACCGTTGACCACGAAGTCTACCCGGGTACACCCCTCCCTACCTGGGTATTTTTTGAATTTTATGCATACCCGGGTAGGGAGGAGTGTACCCGGGTATAGTTCTTGAGTTCTGGGAAATTGCTTGAATTATTTACCCGGGTAAGGAGGAGTGTACCTGGGTAAATCGCGTCCAGAAACCCTAATATCAATGAGTTTTGGTCATTGTTGCGAGGTATAGGGTTTTTGCCCCCCAAATCTCTCGTTTGACCTCTCTATTCTGAAACATCACACACGTATTTCATCTCATCATTTCAAAAAGCTTAATCTTGGTGGGACATTGGATTACATCTCCACACTCCCATTTTGTGCTCAAAAATCCGAACCAACCTCCAAACCCAAAACCTAGATCTAATTTTTGTGTGAAAGATGAGTTCAAGTCCAAACATGGTTCCTGTAGTTATTTACTACAATAGGAGGCATTTTGAAGGTCTGAACGGTGTCCGATTTGAAGGAAAAACAAAAACGATGAAAATCAACCTGGGCACTACATGCAATGAACTGAAGGAGAGAATTCTACAAAAAATGGGGTTAGAAGGCATACAATCCATCCACCGCATGATAGCCAGGTTAGAGACTGTAGTGGATATGGATACAATATACTACATTGGTAACGATATAAATGATGATGAAGATGTGGAGTTCGTAACAGATGCGTTTGTTGAATGGAAAGTATTAAAATATATTGAGATATATGTTGAAGTTGATGCTGGTCAATCTTCATCTTTACCGGTGCATACAACCACTACTGCACACTGTACTGGTCAAGAAGATACAGTTGTACGATCTTCTGCACCGCCTCAGGTAGCATTGGATGAGGATGAAGATGAGGACTATGTGGACAGCGAAGATGAGGGAGAACCTGAAAGTGCTATTCCAGAAGGTGATTCGTCAGACACTGACGTGGAGGGAAATTTTGACGCTGACACGAGCGTCGTAAGTCTGGGTACCCCATCCTTGTCACCACTTCATGTCGACCCAGTCAGTAGTGGTAAGTTATTAAATTTGGACATTTGCTTTAGACAATTTATTATTTGTGGTGGTATTCATTCAGACAAATAAGAGTTGATCTTTAGATGCAAGGACTGCGGTGGAGCCTTTCTGGAATGAAAGCCAACATTATTCATTCATTAATTGGGCGCACCCTAATGACGAGTTGGAGATCCTATATGGCGATGATGACTTGCACGGAGGTTGGAAGTTAGGAGATCCGTTATTTGTGCAACAAGAATTTGGGTCCAAACCAGAAATGCAACATGCTGTGAAGATACATTGTATGAAGAGGCGTAGGACAGCCATAGTCGAAAAAAGCGACGAGTCAAGATTTGTTATGAAGTGTAAAAACCATGCCGACGGTTGTCCCTGGTACATGAGGGCAATCAAGCCGAAGAAGGGAGCTAATTGGGTGGTCCGTAAATGGGGTCAAGATCACACATGCCTGAATCAGGGCCTGTCACAAGATCATAGACAGTTGGATTCAGATGTCATTTGTGCGACTATAATGAGTATGTATTCTATTGTCTACTTAGTGGAACTTCTTATTGAGAATATGGTAAAGTTGTGTTTTTTTTACAGATATGTTAAAGGAAGATCCATCTACAAAACCCCCTCTGATTCAAGAGAGAATACAGGGAATATATGGATACAACATATCGTACAGGAAGGCTTGGAAGGCAAAAATGAAGGCCATTGTTAAGTTGTATGGTGACTGGGAGAAATCATATGGATTCTTGCCCAATTGGCTGACATATATGACGCAGGTGAATCTGTGTTCAAGCTTGATACAAATCAATGTTTTGATGAACGTCGGGTTTATACTGACAGGGCCGTATTTCACAGGGTTTTTTGGACATTTCACCAATGCATCGAGGCATTCAAATACTGCAAGCCTATAATTCAAATTGACGGCACTCATCTGTATAGAAGTACAAAGGTACTCTCTTGATTGCAACATCTCAGGACGAAGATGGATTTCTGCTCCCTATTGCCTTTGCTGTTGTTCCTCCAGGTGAGAGGTTGGATGATTGGTCCTGGTTTCTTAGCCTTTTACGTTTTCATGTCACACATAGGCAAGGTATTTGTCTAGTATCCGATCGTCATCAAAGCATCATAAGGGCGGTGAAAGATCACGCTAGGTGGCAGCCTCCACATGCTTATCATGTATTTTGTCTACGTCACAGCGGAAGCAACTTCAATACCCGCTTTAGGAATGTGGAATTGAAGAAAACGTTGATGAAACTAGGTAATGTATGGTATAATTACTCACATTTTCAACCATTTAATCGTAACTAACCAATTGCATGTGTCATGGTTGTTTTGCAGGGTACACATGTTCAAAGATAAATTTTGATATTAGATACAAGGAATTTATCAAGAATAATCCTGAAGTTGCTTCATGGTTGGATGCGATTCCGAAAGACACGGAATTAATCATAATCACCAAATATATGATGGTTGTCTCCATCATATAGTGCTGCTCCTGTGACACTATCAAAATCGAACCCCAGTAGCTCTGTCCAGATAGGAGCAGTCATGATGATATCAATCCCGCAGACACGGGAAGTCAGCTCGCCATGCGCATAGCCAAGGCTCTGGTAGAAGGCTCTCACCATAACCTCCGAGTATGGGCACTGCATCTCTGCAAGGACAAGTAAATGTGTCTCCTCAAGAAGCGGCACAATGTTGAAACGCTCCAAAAACCTTTCGTGAGCAACTATGTCATCCTCAAACAAATATCCGAACGTCAAGTCCGGAGACTGACTCACAGCAGCCTGGGGCTGAGAGGAAGACGACCCATCGTGTCGACTCTTGGTTCTTCTCTCGGTATTCCCCACCGGCAACTTTGAAACGCGTCTAGAACTCATTGCGTCACACTATTAAACTGAAAAAAAAACCAAAATCAGAAACATAGAGGTTAGGGTTAGGGTTAGTACTTTCAAAAATTAATCGGTCAAAATCATATAACATAACCATGCAAACTACAAAAACGCAATAATTTCAAATGAGGGAGGGACAAACATATCAAAATCAGAACAGATTTGATAACCGTGAAAAAAAAATGAACCTTGGCTGCAGATTCAATCGGTTGAAGGCAGAGATTCACACGTGCGCGAACTGATGGTCATAAAAACGAAGAATTTGAGCAAGATTTGGTGTGAGAATCGCGCAACCAACACACCTCCAGCAGCTCTACTCGGGTACCCCTTTGTTGGGTTTCGAAATGGGGCTGCTGGGTTATGCGATTTACCCGGGTACACTCCTCCTTACCCGGGTAAATAATTCAAGCAATTTCCCAGAACTCAAGAACTATACCTGGGTACACTCCTCCTTACCCGGGTATGCATAAAAATTCAAAAAATACCCGGATAGGGAGGGGTGTACCCGGGTAGGTTTCGTGGTCAACGGTCAAATATGGGCAGATTGATGTTAAGTTTGTTGGGGAAGTTAAATTTTTGAAATAGTTTTAGATGAAGGTTAATTTGATAATTAATAATTAATAATTAATAAAGGGCTATAAGGGTCAAAAAGCCCTATTACTCTCCTTTAGATCAGAATCTTAACTATCTTTTTATTATTTCTCTCTCCTATTAAGATTCTAATATAATGTTGGAAAGTAGTGCAAAAATAAAGATAAAAATATTTGTCATTTTAAATGATAAAAAGTTATGTCACTTTAAAAGAGAAATAGACACAAAATAATATTTTTTTATTTAAAATTTATATTAAAAAATATAACCCACTTTTTTTCTATGATTTTCATCCTTTGTGTCTATCTTTCTTCTAAAATGACATAATTTATGTCATTTAAAAGGACAAACATCAAACTCATAAAATAATCTATCCCAATATTTATAACTTTTTATAAAACAGAAATTAAAGGAAACAGAATTCCTAATCTTGTGATATCGCTATATGAGTTTGACCAAACTCGAATTGAATTACTCATCGACAATGGACATGTGGAGATATAAAAAATAAGAGTAAATATCCTTTCCGGTCCTTAACAAATTTCACGATGTCCGTTTTAGTCCCTAGGAAATAAAAAGGTCCATTGTGGTCCCTAAAAAATTTAAAATGGACTTATATAGTTGAAATCGTGGATCCCTCACAAGTTCAAAAAAGACCCATATTAATCCTCAAAAGGACTAAAATAGGTCCATTTTGAATTTTTTAGGGACAACGATGAGCCTTTTTATTTGCTAGGGACTAAAACGGGCATCATGAAATTTGCTAAGGACCAAAAAGAATATTTACTCAAAAAATAAATATATAATTCAACTTACAATATTATTTGGCAGAAAAAGAAAGAAGCTACCTCAGTATCTTGGTAGATTTGGACATAAAACGTTTGAAAATGAGAATTTACGGGCAAGAATTTCTTTTTGAAAAAAATGTTCATTTAGCGGGCGTTTGGTACAGGAGAAATTTTTATTTGTCCGAGAATCTCGATTTTCAAAAATATGATTTTTACATTTAGTTTACGATAATATCTGAAAATTTATAATTTTAATTTCCCGGAAATTCGAAAATAATCTATGTACACGTCATTCTCCAGAATTTCTGGGAAACTGAATTTTTTCTAAATTTTTAATTTTCGGATATTATTGTAAACTGAATATAAAAATCGTATTTTTGAAAATCGAGATTCCGGACAAAAAAATATTTCTCCTGTACCAAACGCCCCTTTAAGAATAATTCTCAAAATAGTTAAAAGTAACATTTTTTATTTAAAATTTAAATTAAAAAAATTCACTCTCCATATAATTTTTATTATTTATTTTTTTCTCTCTAATTCCTTTTTTTTTATACGATAATTTCCTATCCATTTCCTGATTAGTGCTATGAGTAACAGAAGCAGCAAAGGAAAGGAACGAGAAAACCCCGTACGTTTCGATTCCCAAAAATATACTCAACTCAACTTTGAATTGAAGGTTGAAGCACGAATTAAACATTCAATTCAACCCAATCCTTACCTTTCTGTGCCTCACTTAGCTTCTTTGCTCTCTGGTCTCCAACCCTTCCTTCCTGCTCGAGTACACCCACATACAACCGTTGTCCTTTAACTCATACCCTTCCTTATTCAATCCATGGGTGTCTTTGAAGCTCTCAAAGACAGCAGCTTTTGTCTCATGTCATTGAAATCCCAACACCCTTTTGTCCAATAACTCTAAAGTTTGTGTCTTGTTACTCTATTCACTTTGTGTTCATTCATTCGCTTCTCTGCTTCTTTGGGTTTTGCTAAGATGCAACTCGATCTGGAGTCCTTGTCAGAAGCTACTTCTGGTGCCATTGGATCCCTTGTTAGCACCACCGTCTTGTACCCACTTGATACTTGCAAGACCAAATATCAAGCTGAAGTTCAAGCTCACCATCAGCGAAAATACAGGTTCAATTGTTCATCTAGTTTTCTTTTTGGGTCCAATTTAATTGTATTTTAACATGTATGTACTAATTGTTATATTTCATGGGTTGCGTTGGGTTGCCATGTGCAAGTGATAATTTTGGTAAGCATGATCTGAGCCTTTTGTCCATCTTCCATGTAAACTAGCTTATTCTATATTGCTGTCAGTAGGTAACATTATTTACTAGACGTTTGCTAGAGAGATGGGTTATATATGATCACAACCCAAAAATTGAATAAATTTGGTTTAAGTATGCGTTTGGATTAGCTTATTTTGTATATTGAAAAGCATAATTTAAAAGCTCAAGAGAGAGCCCTTAAGAAAACATGGTGGAAGTTGTGTATAATGTCGAGTCATGAAGTCAAAACATAGTAAAGTTGGTTATTTCTTCTCAACACTAGGAAATCTTAACATTCCAATTGCTAATATTACGGTCTGTTTTTGCTTTTATCTTAGCAAGATTAACTGGAAAGTTATTAGTAAGTTATGGTTATTTGATTTTGTTGGTTTGTTCCATGTAGGAGAATTTCTGATGTTTTATGGGAAGCAATTTCTAATCGTCAGGTGCTTTCATTGTACCAAGGCCTTGGGACAAAAAACGTCCAGTCCTTTATTTCGTCGTTTATTTATTTCTATGGATACAGCTACTTTAAGAAGCTATATTTGAAAAAAACTGGAAACAATACCGTTGGAACAGCAGCAAACTTGATTGCTGCTACTGCTGCTGGGGTCTGTACAATAGTAATAACACAGGCAAGTCAGAATTGTAATTGTTTTCAGACATATATTATTGTTAGTTACATACCTACATGTGATTTGCTTGTTGTAATTTGTTAACTGAGGGAGCTTCCATAATTTAGCATGAAATTGAGGGTAATTGCCATGCTGTATGTAGACGTCACGACATTGGAAAAGTTTAATGTTTGTCATTTCTAGTACGTGATCAACTAAGAGTCACCTGTGCTTAGTAGTTGCGTTGGTTATTGTGGGTGAGGATTTGGGTAGAGTTTCAAGGTTCATGGCAACAACTTCCTTATCTGCCAAAAGAAGATTAAAAAAGAATATGATCTACTAATGCTGTATGTTCTCTCAAGTAGATTGTTCTATTATTATATCTGCAAAAAAAGAAACAAACCGGTCCCTGATTGCTTGATCTCAATGTCCAAACCCATGCTTTCTTTGTTGTTAGGCACACAATCTTCAGTAATATCTGCTTGTATTTTATAGCCCTTAGATACAGCATCCTCAAGGATGCAGACAAGTGAATTTGGAAAATCCAAAGGACTCTGGGAGACCCTTTCAGAGGGTACATGGAGTGAGGCATTTGACGGTCTTGGCATATCTATTCTTTTAACATCAAACCCATCTATTCAGGTATCACTCTTAGGATATTTATGCAAATGAAAACTAGAGAGGATCTGTTATTCCAGATTAGGTTGAACTAGTAGACTACCCAAACTCAGACATGGAATTTATTTTTCCCCCAACAGTACACTGCATTTGATCAGCTGAAACAGAGACTACTAAAGGGTAAGATGAGCAAGAAAACAGGAACAAAGTCATCCCCGGAAGTTCTTTCTGCATTTTCTGCTTTCATGCTGGGTGCAGTTTCGAAATGTGCTGCTACGTGCTTGACATACCCAGCTATCAGGTGGATGGTCAATTTAAATTATTTCCCCCTAGACATTTTTACTTGCATAACTGATTCTAGTGAATATTATGCAAATGGAGGGAAAAAAACTAATTTATTTAACTTTATGCAGATCTATGGTTTATGGATATGTATCTTGTGAAAAATAACTAAAGTGATACATTGGCTTTTTCTTTGGTTATGCTATGTTGTGGAGCTCCTAATGGAAATTGTTTTAAATTGCCAATAGGTGTAAGGTGATGATTCAGGCTGCTGATTCAGATGATGATAAGAGTACAGAAGCTGAGAAGAAGGCACGGAGGACAATCTCTGGAGCAATCTATACTATTTGGAGAAGAGAAGGCCTGTTGGGATTTTTCAATGGATTACAGGCGCAAATATTGAAAACTGTTCTCAGCTCTGCATTACTTATGATGGTAAAGGAGAAGATCACAAAGTCCACATGGATTCTGATGCTCATGATTGGAAGATACCTGTCTGTCAATCCCCCCAAATTGAAGGCAGCTTGAATTTGTGATGAGTATATTTTAAATAATTTCTCATCCAAGAATATGCTATAATTGACTTTGTCTGGTGTGGAGGAAAATAGTGGCAGATGCAAGAAATATGAGCGTTGCTGGCGGTTAAGATTGTGTTTCTAAAGAAGGAATGCGAAAAATGAAAATTCAGAACAATGGAGTCTGTCTCATCTAATATGCTTTTTTCCTTGTTAATAGAAGTAGCCTGTTTTCTGTTAGCTCTATGTTATGCACCTCCAATTGGACTTGTGATTTGTATCAAAACTTCCAAGCTCAAAATTGATATTATTGATGATAATGACAAGAATAAAATAACAGCCCTTTGGGAACGTTTTCTTTCTCCTATTCGTGTTAGCCTTGCATTCTATAGACAAGCGCAATACTGAAACAAGAGTTACACAAGGATCTCTCAATTTTCCACTAAAAGTAGTTGTGTTCATTATTTTCAGTTTTCACTGACACAAATAATACTTTTATGGGTGGGCTTTTGATTGGTAACAAAATTGTAACAATGAAGCATTGCCAAGAGCCATCCTCGAGGTTCTCATAACAGGAAAACGTTACCAACTAACAAGATCATGGAGCAGTAAATGAAACCAATTTTGGAAATCAAATTGGCACCACTAAAACTATAGGGAGCAAAGCTTCCTGCAGGAGTGTCAGTGGTCAAGACGACAACAATCCAGTTACCTTTTGAACCAATACCAATTCCTTTATACTTTGTATCATTGAGATTATCTGAGTAGAGAGACTGTGTGAAATTAGTGAGGACAAGGCTCCGAACAAGGCCAGGGACACAAGCAGGCAATACAGTTCCATCCCTTGTGTTGGAAATAGCCAAGTGACATTTAGTTAAAAGGTCTGGGTAGTTGGAGAATTGAGGTTCTGTGCCTGGTACTGTGTTAGCACCTGTTGTATTTGTACAGGGTTGATTCTTGAATTGGTCAGCTATTTCATCAGCAAGGCAATCTGCATTTTCGTTCTTTGTTAGAGCTTTCAAGTTTGATGATGCTCGATACTTGTTGATTCCCTGATAAAGATTATCTTTCTCATCTGCAGGATAATATTAAAGGTAAGTGCAGTCTCAAGATGACAACTTCAGTGAGTATGCTTATGCATGATGTGAATGTGCAAGTATGCCTATAAGAGAAAAAGAACTCACCATTGTCACATTTAACTGGATAATTTATTAAGAGAAACTGAATGGAAGAAAAGAGAAGGCAGAAGAGCAGAGAGAACTTAGGGAACACCATTGTTTAGAGGTAAGTTGAGAGGTGTAGAGTGGAGGTAGAGCAAGACTCCTTCTATAGCAAAATGGTTTGCCACCTTTGGTTGCGCTATGTGCTTTACTGTTACTTCAAGCATAAGTTTGAAGCTATAGACAGCACACTGACACTGAGGAAGACATTGCAACGGTAAGGATTGGCAAAGTTTCAGTATCAGATATGTGTATGCATATGAGGACAGCTGTTCCGGAGTCTCTTTCCTTCCATGCATGGTTACATGTCTATTCACCAGTATATATTAAATTAAACTCTTAAATATATTAAAGTAGAGTTTTTATTAAAAAATTTAGTGTATTTTTTTAAAATTTTAAGTTTAAACTATTTAAATTAATTATGCTTATTTTTTAATTTATACATTTAAATGTTACGTAAATTAATTTTATATATTTCTTTTATATTTTTTTTTAATTTATTTTTATATTTTACTTGAATTAAAAATACCCTCTCAATGCATAAAATACTTGTTGGTTGAATTTTTTTATTTTTTCTTATGCGGCGTTAATGGGAACAATTTTATATTTCCTTTAGTTTTACCATAGGGAAATATTTTTTTGTGAGTAAATTACAAAAATATGTTTGATTGACCAAAATTTATCCTGAAAATATTTGGATAAGTTTATGAGTTGATGTTTGGTTGATTGTGAAATAGTAATAGGAATGTGAGGTTATTTTACAAAAATAACCCCAACTTTACAGATAGTACACAAAAAAGCAGGGTTAATTTCGTCTAAATTATTTCGCTATTTTTTTACTTCTCGGGCAAAAAAATATCAACTTATCGATGGAGTAATTTATAATGTGTCCGTACCAGAGTTACACGTTAACAACAAAAAAGGGGCAAAAATGTTACCCAAAAAAGTGTAACTTTTATTGCTATCAAAGGTGGATCTGTAGATATCAAATTCTCCTCACCCAACTTTTCAAGCAAAACAAAAAGAATCTGCATAACAAACGCCACCTTATTTAATTGTTCTAGTAGGTCTATACTTAATATTTGAGAGACTTATCACATGAGATGGTGACAATTGTCCAGTAGAAATTAAAGGTATTATACCTAACAACGTATGTCTCAAGCCAATTTGGTGTAACGGATTAAATAGGATGGTGCGTCTCATAAACATTGATTAAAAATAATGTTTGATAAAATTAATTTCCAGAAAATATAAATTAATAAAATTAAGAATTAAATTATTTTTCTGATACATTTTGTATTAAATATGATCAGTTTCATTTTTATCTAGGTTGACCATATGATCTTCCTCTACACAAATGTCCCAAAGTGATTTGGTGCAGCTTCAATCCATAGGTCTTTATTGGAACAAGGTGGGGAATGTAACTGTAAGACATTCCGGAGCTCAAGTCAAATTTGGTTGAAGCAGATTTTTTATGTAAAAGAAAATATGTACATCTGGTTAACACATGTATTATAGTAGAATGATATCCAATTTGATGGAAAGATGACCAGCTTTGTGGAGAGATGCTCTCCAAGTTGATTGCAAGTTGTGAGGCGGCAAGCTGTCCTCATTGGTCTTTGTGGGTGGCTTGGAGATAATGTTTGCATTAGTGCCTTGGTGATGAATTTGTTTGGTGGTGAAGTATGTTGAGGAGCTTGCTGAGATGTGCAACAACTGTAGCAACATTTGTTGACTTGGTCTTTGCTTTTAGAGAGAAGATTTTGAATGGAGCCTCGTATTATGTGGGCCAGAGGTGTAAATGAGCTACGTGGAGCTAAGCTTTAGCTTAAACGAGTCAAATCTATGAAAAATTAAAGGCTTAAGCTGAGCTTGGTTTGGCTAATTTATAATTATAAAATGTATTTTTTCCAAACTCACATACGTCCAAATGTTGAGACTATGAATGCATCAAATTCTATAGAAGGTTGGGGTAAAGTCGTGAAAATATGAGTGACCGAGGGAGGAAAGGAAAGACCAGTAGTAGAGAACTTGTTTCTGAAACTGTGACTGTGAGAAAATGTCAATAGTCATTAGTAAAAGTAGGGTTAAAAAAGTAGAGTTAATGACTTAGAGCCCGTTTGTTTGCACTTTTTAAAAAAGTAACTTTTATCTCTTCCTTATTTTACAAGTCCTTTTGCAAAAGTTAAAGTTATTTATATTTTTATAAAAATATTTAGATTTTGAAAAAAATATTTGGCTTTTGACTTCTGCTTTTTTTAGAAGTTAAAATTTTTGGCTTCAGAAAAAAGTAAGTTTTTGACTTTTTTTGTGACTTGTGTTTTTTCTAAAAGCAGACATCCAAACGAACTAAAAATGAAAAGTGCTTTTTTTCAATAAAAAAAGCAACTTCTGGAGAGAAAAAAGCTCATCCAAACGAGCCCTTAGTGATATAAAAATATATTATTTATTATAATAATATATCACGTCAGTTCACGGCCTTTCAAGCCAAGGCTCATTAAATTAGGTTTGGCCTTGTTTGCTAAGCAAGTTTTTTTTTAAAGCTTGAGTCTGTTCTATCTATTAAATAAGCCAGGCTAAACTTAAAGTAAGCCAAACTTTGGGCCTTTGACAAGCTGCTCGGTTCATTTACGCCCTCATATTAATATTATTATTCCAGATCAAAATATAAATAACATAAAATATGTTATTAATATTAAGTACACATTATTTATTAAATATACTCTCTCTTATGTATAAAAATAAGGAAAATTATCAAATATTTTTTTTTCTCAAAAATTCCTTTTAAGCATTGAAAATAAAAATAAAAATTATTTTAAAAAATAATGGAAAAGAACATAATCTTTATGTACATCTTACCTAATAAAGAAATGATTCCAAATGTTCTTTTTTTTTCTTTTCTTTTTTGTATATATACCAAATGTTCTCATTCTCTACTACCGGATAAAATGTTCAAACCAAGGAATTTTTCTCCCTTTCTCCAAATAACCGCCACCATTGTTATTAGGTGATTTCCCACGAGTACACTCTCACTCACGTGCAAAATCATCAATATCACTCCACACTTTTGGAATCTTTCACAACTATCTATATAAGTCGCAAACTTGCCCCATAGGACCTTTGACCATTCACGCATTGCATCCTCACACATTCTCTCCAAGCATTTAAGTACTATGTAGGTGACCGCACTCCACCTGCACATAGACCACCATTTTGCATCCTAGATTGATTGCCATTGAGTGTTGGTTCACCATATATAGTTCATCTAGCTCGGTTGACACAATAATTCATCAGTCTAACATGGACATGAGATCATATAAAAAGATCTCGTATGTCCAGATACAAATCAATGATTTTTTCATCATTTATCCTAATACATTCTACCATCACCGTTAATTTACATATAGACAATTAAAATATTCTCATATGACCCCCATATCATAAAGGCTGAACATCATTGAACAAATGGTAATTATTAGTTTACTAATTAGTATTTCATGGCATGTTAGTGTAAATCAGATGTAAAAAGCCCACTTGCGCTGAAAAAGATTGCACAAATTTCAATTTAATGTAACATAAAATAAAGGCATAAAACTGTAACTCTTTCGCTTTAAATGACTTATGACGAGTTTTCAATCGCTTTTAATGATTTATAGTCTAAGAAAGAAAGATTTTGATAACCACGCAAAAAATATTAAAGCACATCTCTTGTTTTCCGTGACTGATATCACTTCAAAACTAGCACATCTTTCATTACAATCGACGAGTCTCTCAAAAACTGAAATCAGGTGCGATCTTCACACAAATTCTTGCCTAGTAGAAGAAACCCAGCACTTTACCACCGACATTCTTTCTCCTAGCTTCTTCATGATCCATGATACCAGCAGAGGTAGTCAAGACAATATACCCAAACTGCATGATTCGTGCAATCAATGGTTAGGGGTCACAGGAAAAGTCACGAGATTCAACAGAATAACAGACAACAGAAAGTTCAATGGTCTATCTGATGATAGACCCTTCAGTAAGTTCAGTTCACACCTACATAAGAAATAAATTGACCCTTCTATAAAACCAACCCATTTTCAAACAACCAAGTGAACCAACTAAACAAAATATTACAAGTACCAAAGCAGCACAAGCAAAAATCAATTTACCGATCCTCATATTATAATGATACAACAATCAAATACTGAAAGAAGCTCATATTTGAGACCAATATTTCTATAGCAATTCGGGGGAAAAGCATGACCATGAGAGTGAGTTGGGAACAACATTGTATTGAACTTAACCATCTTGAACGTCTTCAACAAAGTCAGAGAGTTTGTACAGTAAAAATAATCATGGTCAATTAAATTATCAAATTACTAACCAGTTTATGGTCTTCTATAGAAGAGTCAAAGAACCAGAATATGTCATAATTGAGAAAAAAGAAGTAAAGGCGGCTTTTAGGCTTACCTGTCTAGAGGGAAGCAGCCTTGCAGTCCAACCTTCTACCTCTTTGACACCAACGTCAAAGCGGGGACTAATAACACCACACTTATTCAATCTACCATTCAACTCTACCACAATTTTTCCAGCCCTGTGATCATCAACATATTCGAACTCCCCAATGTATCCTAGAACCACCAGAATATACCAGATCATGACAAAAATTAAATATTTAGGAGGCAAACGATAAATAAGTTGAGGCAATTTTTTGTAGAAAAAGACTGAAAAATACCGTGTTTCTGCATCACCAAAAGGAATTTTATAATCACTTTTGAGGATGGCCGGATCATGACTTGGCGCTTCCCCCGTTTCTCAGCATTGTACATGCTCTTGAGAGCGTCATTCAAGACACTAACCCTCACCATAGTCACTGTCACAAGTTTCAACAAAAATTCATCATAACAAACAAAAACAAATGCTGTGCAAACCAAATGCTAAACAAAAAGGTGAAAAGAATCAGCAATCAGGATAACGTTATTTAAAATGAGCTTATCTCTAAAGTAGGTAATGAAAGATGTATCCACCCTTGATTTTATTCTTAGTGCAGTAATCTCAAACCTATAAAATTAAAGGGTGAATACAGCTCAAACTAGAAGAGCTTTTTCCATCCAGTCATAAAACCACATCTTTCAACCTTTATTTATCTTTGTTCAAGAAACACGTCATTTAATCAATAATGATAATTTGAATGGAAATTGCAACAAGTCCATCTTGGCTATTACTACAAAATAGATACCCAAAGACAATAAATTAAATCTCAAAGGGGCATGTTCTGGATCCATTTCCAATCGTAAATTGCGAGATAAACAGGAAAATAAAGCGAAGCAATGAAACCTAGAATCCAATTTCATAAATAGAGCGTTTTCTAGGAAAATGAAACAGTGCGAAGCAGATCTTACCAAGCCTGAAAGAAACTGGCGCGGGTGCGGCAGCTGCACTAGCTTTGCTTTGAGGAGAAAGCACTCGCAAGGTTAGTGTGTTGAGGTAACTCGGAAGAACTGATATAATAAAACGAACATGAGTTTTGTTTTAGGGTTTAGATTTTAGGATCGTTTTTTGGGCCATACACATTGGGCTATTCATTTTAAGCCGATTCTTTCAAGGTCCATACTTGTGTGCATTGAATAAGTAAAGTAGTAAACTTTGTTCTGAAATTTTTGTTACGAAAAAACAAAATAAATATTTATACTTTTTGTTTTATTCTGCTTAATTAATAATGTATTTTGCTTCAAACCAAAATATAAAAACACACTTTAGCGTCCGTTTGGGTGATTTTTTTTTTAAAATAATTGTTTATGATTTTTTTTTTCAGAATGACTTTTTCTAAAGGTTAAAATTATTTTACATTTGGATGAAATACATATGATCGGTCCAACACCAATTGGACTGGTTCTAATCACACACAATTGAAGATAAGGATATTGATGAAGAAAAATGAAGGATATATGTGTTGTTGTCAAGATGCTGGGATGCTTGGCAAGGTGATGTAATGTGTTGCGAGATAGTTAGGCAACACCTTTGCGTATCTAGGCAGTTTGAGAGTGATTGAGGATACTTCAATCACTCTTATGCTCAAACAATTTAGTATTCAAGGAGGTTCAAGTATTCGAAGAGAGTTATCACACCTGGAGTTAAAGTCTCTGTATTTATAGTGACTGAGTGTCTTGTTTCTCACCATATTTTATTAGACGATTGTCACGTTTATTGGTGGAGAAGGGTGGCCTCTCAGGCTATTCCTTGCTGGGGCAAACCTAGGCTCAATAGTAGATTCAGTAGGTGTGGTGGCAAGCAGGATCTGTCATCCTTTCACTGGTTCTTGGTGGTGGCCAAGTATTCAGCGAGATCCATGCCTCCTTTGCGGGATGATATACCTTTGCAGCTATGTTACAGGAGTCCTCTAGGCCTTTTGGAATTAGGCCTCTATTTCGCATATAATAGATTCAGACCAACATAATAAATATTTTTAAAGAAAGATATTATTTGAATATTAAAATTAATAAGCATTTTTAAATATAAAATCACTAGATATATAAGAGTACTGATGATGGTAATGAGATGGAGTGGTTGAAGTGGGTTGTGATAATATTGAATTTTTTAAAAAATATTTAACTTTTAACCTATTTGGATGACTTTTAAAAAATGGCTTTTTATGGCTTGTGTTTATTTTATAATGAATTTTTTAAAATCAAATAATAATTGATCATGGAATCAAATACTCTCAAGTTTCAACGATAGTACGAGAATCAAATTATAATTTTTTAAAATAATTTTTCATATAGTATGAGAATATTACACCTGATTTAATAATAATAAAATATATGAATTGAATAATAATCGAGGCAGGTTGTAAGAAAAAAAATTTATACTAAATTTTAATTATTAATTTATCAATATCTAACGGTTCATATATCTAATAAATTAAAGTCGTTAGATATAAATAAAAATTAATAACTAAGATTGAGAGTGTAATTTAATCTAAAATGATATGACTCTAATCATATACAATATTGAATTAAATTTGGAATGTTTTAATATTTTTTCTATCAAATTTCAATCATCGAGCATACTATTCTTAGATGACTTTATAATTTATTAATATATTAATGTCAGGGACATTTGAGGAATGTGGAGGTGATTTAGCCCCCATGTTCACTTTTTCTTTCTTTCTTATCTCCCCTCTCTCTTTTTCACTCCTCTAAATTGCAAAAGGGGGGCACCCAGTGGCCATATCAGGGACAGTACAATGGGATCTATGTATCAATACAAAATAAAAAGTGAATTTTTTTTGAAGAATAAATTTTTTTAAATAAACAAAATGCATAAGTAGAATCACGTATATAGGACGAAGTTTCAAGTCACATTGAAACAAAAGTTCAAAAGTCTAACTACCTAGAGTTGAGATTGAAGTGGTCCATCACAAACTATGCACAGCATATAGGTTTTCAGGGTTCAATTCTTAAATTTGGAACTAGATGGACACGTTTGATACTAAGCTATATAAGGAGTTATAGAAGTACCTTATTCTCCTTTAGCGTTAGGTAATTTCGAACACTAGCCGTCATAAGTGAGCCTACTTCATTTTTAGTTCATTTAACTGGTTGGAATTGATGCGCCAACTCAAATCCTATACTTAATAAAACTTTATTTGATTTCCGTATATCCAAGTTAGAAGTGAGTGTTTAATAATATAAAAATCAAAATCACACATAAAACATATATATATAATGAGCTTACGAGCTAATCAATCAAAACAAATAAAAGCTCAAACTTGGCTTATTTAAATCGGATTGATAAAAAAAAAAGTATTAATATCAGAAGAAAAATCTAAAATTTTGTTATCCATAAAACTAAGCTAGGTTACAAAATCTTTAACGGCACAAAAAAGGAAAATACTAATAATTCCATTCGATGATTTTGGTGGGTCCTCTTTAAAGGTTTCAAAACTCGTTGATGGCATCTTGCGTGATTTTCGACAATCAAAATTGGGACAAGAAGAGTTGCTTGTAACATAGTCACTCCTACACCGTCCGATTAAAAGACGTGTTCCTCTCTCCCGGCAACATTTTCATTCTTTCTATCTCTGCAAATTAAGAAACGAAAATTCAATTTCTATCTCTATGGCATCGGTTCCTACTACTTCCTATCACGGTGGAAGCTAAAAACGGTAACGCACTTCTCAATCACCCTATGTCATTTTGCCCCAACTAATAAAACCGAAACCCTAACCCTAACCCCTCATTCCTCTAGCTATCTGTCTATTTCTCTTTGCATATTCCAAAGTGAGCTTCATGTACTCTCAAAATCTGATACTTTCCCCAGAAAACCCTAGATCGCTGACGTTTTCTTCAAAACCGATGAGCAATGAGATCGCCATCGCCCAGAAGCCTCCCCCTTCAATTCTCGTTGGCCGGTTCAAGGCTCTCCTCAAGGAAAGGGACGACGACGTTAGGGCCTCCTCCGGTGCCCCCGTGCCGCCGCCCACCACCGACGAAATCGTGCAGATTTACGAGTTGCTCTTGTCGGAACTCACATGCAACTTGAAGCCCATCATCACCGATCTCACCATCATTGCCGAACAGCAGAGGGAGCATGCCAAGGGCATCGCTGATGCAATTTGCAATCGGATTCTTGAGGTCCGTCTCCGTAGCCGCAGAAAGTTCTTATTATTATTAATTTTTTTTTTTACTCTCAAGATTTGTAAAATATCCTCGGATTCGGATCGAAGCTACTGTTTTACTTATTTGGGTCAAAATTATCCCTCTTTTTGCTGTTTCAATTTCCGCTACTTCGAATGTCACAATTTGGTTTCTAATTCTTCGGATTTTGTTTTAATTTCTTTCTTTCGTTCTGACACTGAAAGGAGAGAGAGAGAGACAGGGTTTTTAAATTCACCGTTATTATGGGTATTAATGTAAAACAATTTGGTACTACTTGCCACTTAAAGAACAGGAAATAGTACAATCTAAATGACTAGCACATGGGAGTTCCTTACAAATTGTGAAGCTTTGTTGCTAGTATGCGACATTTTGAGTGCTTAATTCAATTTCGGGAAAGTCTAAGGGTATACAAATTGAAATACTATTTATTCTGAAAAGATTTAGGCCTGCCATAAATGGAAAGTTGTTACTTGCAGCTTTGCTGAAATGAATTCATTTTGAAATCTGCAAAATAAATAAATAAATAAATAAATTGGTGAGTGCACAAATATTAATTATGGGGATGGTTATACTTACCACCATTTTAAGCTTATTAATCTTACTACATGTTTGGTTATAGTTTGATTAATTTGACGTCAATGACAGTTAATCTTTTCTCTTTTTCAATGGCTGATTTTAAATTGATACAATGATAGCCAAACAGGTAGTAACAATGGTACGTCTAAAATGGTAGTAAGTATAACCTTCTCCATTAATTACTTAGGCTTGGGAATACATTTTTAGAATCATTTAAAAAGGAAACAAATCTCTCAAAATGCCATAACTATATAATATATTGTAAAGACAATTACAACCTTTTTATGATTGAGTTCATAGTGTATTTTTGTTAATGAGTTGTAGAAAGTTAGTATTTTTACTTTTGGAATCTCTCTTGTTGAATTACATGCCTGGCTATGCCACTGTTCATATGGGCTTCAAATTTTTGAAGATATCCTTTTGCAGGTGCCTCCAGATCAAAAGCTTCCTTCACTCTATCTTTTGGACAGTATTGTGAAGAATTTTGGTCAGGAATATGTTAGATACTTCTCTTTACGTCTGCCTGAAGTAGGTCAATCAGAGTTGCTTTATTATTTTCGTATATATTATATTATTCTGTTATTGAAACCTGTCATTCCATTGTCTCCCTAGGTTTTCTGTGAGGCATACAGGCAGGTTCAGCCTAGTTTGCATCCTGCTATGCGCCATCTCTTTGGCACCTGGTCCAAAGTCTTTCGACCTTCTGTCCTATGCAAGATTGAAGCTCAATTACAATTTTCTCAAGCAGTTAATACTCAATCATCCACCATCAATCCCATCAGGGCATCTGAATCTCCTCGACCAACTCATGGCATACATGTTAATCCAAAGTACTTGCGGCAGTTGGAGCGCTCAACTGTTGATAGTGTAAGCTTTTTGATGACATCTCTATACAGGGACTAGAATGAGGCTTGTTTATTCTACTGTTGTATTTTTCATTAACTGAGTTGTTTATTGTTTAGATGTAACCCTAACCAGATGTAGTTTTTGTGGCAAAATTCTTATTATATCTCAGATGTCAGGATCTCTCCGTGTCCATCATGTTCTTTCTGTGTTCTCTCTCTCTTCCCAACAATGTTTCTCCTTTTTCTTTTTTTGATAAATTATGTTCTCTGAACATTGTGTGTACTTAAGACATATTTGATGCTAAGCTTAGCAATGGAGGATGGAGGTGTCAATATAGACATGACTGGTATTTTTTGATGGGTTGTCAAAGGAGGCAGTGAAATTTGTATTTTTTTCCTTCCGTCTTGGCTCACCCCTCTCCTCTTCCTTCCTTCAAAGCTTTTATGACTAAGCTCTAGCACTGCAATCTTTTAGGGCTTTTTTTTTTGTTCTTGACTCTAATAAGCATGGGATTGTTTTTCCCTGATGCTTCTCTCTAAATTACAAGTCTTGGTGCACTTGAGGCCGAGGGGGAAAGACCTGGATGACAGATTAAGTGGGTGTTTTGGATGGGCTTTTTTTCAAAAATAAAATTCTTTTTAGTTATTTTATGTGTTTGGATAGCAACTTTTAAAAAATGCAAAATTTTAAAATGGTGCTTTTTTTTTAAGTCAAGATTCCTTGCTTCTGAAAAAAAAAAAAAAAAACAGAAGTCAAAAGTCAAATATTTTTTGGAAAATTCAATTTTGCCCCAACCCCACTCCACTTCATTACCACCACTTCCAGCACATATCCTTGTTATTAATTTTATAGATAAAAAGTGCTTATTAATTTTCACATCCAAATAAGTTTTTTATTTAAATGTACTTTTTATGTATTCCATCCAAACGTAACTTCAACTTTTAAAAAAAGTAATTCTAAAAAAGGCAAGTCATAAATGTCCTATTTTTAAAAGTTCATCCAAATGGGCTGTAAGTGCTTTTGATCGTGTCTCCATCTGAGAGTCTCCAATTTCCATATTATTAATGGCAAAAAGATTCTGTTTATCTGTTAGTATCAGTAGCAACATATTAGACAAACATAATTTATCCAATTTTCTCTTTAGCTTATGTCTGGGGGTTGAAGGAGTTAGTACTGTATCCTTTGATGCTAAAAAGGGACTACTGCTAAATATTCAGCATTCAATAGAAAACATATTTATCCCTTAATTGGGGATTCTTGTAAACAGATACAGTGGCATTCTGACGCAGTATTTGGTTATATCCTCACAGGTTGGTGGTGAAAAGTTGGACTCATCAGGAAATGCTAGTAATACAAGTTTTGGCCTAGCTAGTAAGATGCATCAATTTGTATCCAGCAGTAGTAGGCCTGGAATATCCTCATCACCTTCAAGAATTGGAATTGATATGCCTTCATCTGCATCTATGGATGATTATGCAGTTGACAATTCTGCTGGCAGGATAGTTGAGAGAGAGTCTCCTAATCCTGTTGTTGATTATGGAGTAGCCAAAATATTAGGTAGAGATGAAGAGTTGAGTAAATGGCAGCAAAAGCAGTATTCTGCTGATGGTCGAAATCGATTTCAAACTTCTATGACATACAGCCTTAGTAATGGACATCATCGTCAAAGTCCAAGAGCTCTAATTGATGCATATGGCAGTGACAAAAGACAAGAAACTCCAAGCAGTAAGCCTTTCTTAGTTGAACGGCTGGATAGAAATGGTATAGACAACAAGTTGTTGTCAACATCATGGCAGAATACTGAAGAGAAGGAGTTTGATTGGGAAGATATGAGTCCAACATTAGTAGACCATAGTAGGAATAATGGTTTTTTTCCATCAGCAAATGGTTTCTCCCGGGATAGGCCTGTTATTGTTGCAGCTAATGCAACTTTGGCAGAGGAAGATAATGGAAAGGGTTGGTCTAGTGGACCTCAGCTTCTTCAAGTAGATGATTCCTCTGTTATAGCAGAAGATGCATTTGCCTCTTCGACTGTATGTTATCTCAACTTCTATATTTTATTCTTTCAACTGTATATTGTTTTAAGGGGAAGGATCCATTTACAATTTTTTTTTACAAATTTTTACAAATTACATTATGTGCTCCTGGAAGTACATAGTGTAACCTAGTGTACTTCCGGGAGTACATAGTGTAGTTTGTAAACAAAAAGTTTGTAAATATAACCCTCCCCTTGTTTTAATATGATCTATGATATTGCATTTTCCCTTTAAATTTGTTCCTCTAGTCAGATACCGTTTATGCTTCTGTGGATCTAATGATAATTTTCTGGAGATGAGCATCTTCATAGCTTTGTTTGAGTAGACCCAATGAAATGTCTGACATTCATTTAATACTTGTCTGGCAGTTGGTCTCTAATTATTTTAGTTCACAGATATTCACTAATGTAACATTTTCCACAGTAAATTTCTGCCTTTTAGAATTTATGTTAGGGATATGTTAGTGTGTAGTTTTTGGTAGTTTTAGAGATAAGCATCATAGCAGTGGGTTGTTTTATTTTGTTAAGTTGTTGTTGACTTGTTGTAATGGGTGGTTATTATTTTAAATTCGTATTTTGTTATTTAAACCTTCATTATGTGGAATAAAAAATAATCAAAGAGAAAAATTATTTTGTGTACTTGTGTGCTTGAGGCAGAGCTTCCTCAATAGAGCTCAATTGTTTTCATAAGAAATATTGTATGTAACAATTTAGCCATATATTGGTCACAGCAAATGGCTTTTGTTTAGCGGTCTTGATGTTTTCCTTCTAGTGTTTTAAATTTGGTTGACTCCTTTTCATTATCTATATGGGACTTAATTTAGTATAGTATACTTTGAAAGGAGATAGGATTTGCCAATATCTTGCTAGTATAATTGAAAATTTTTATATTCTTTCTGCAGTATGGTCGTGTATCCCTGGGTCAGGTATCTGGATTCCAAAATCAAATAAATCATAGTCTTGGCTCCTGTCAACCTCATGATGATTGGAAGATTTCTCATCATCCTTCTAATTCTTCACAACATTTCTTTAATAATAGGGGGCGAGCAAGGAGTCTTCTGATGCCTCCTATTGATAATATTCCCAATACAGATGTAAACCCATATCGGATTCGACCTGCGGTGTCAAGGATGGTTTCTGGTCTACCCTCTAATATGGAGGCTCGTTCACCAGTTTTGCCAGCATCTTTTGAAATAAGGCCTTCTGTAAATGTGCTTGCCACTCATCCTCCCACCTTAAATCCAATATTTCCCTTGCAAAAACATGTTAGGAGTCAGCTCGAAGCTATAAATACTAGTAACCCTATTGTGAATCATGGTCCAAATAAACCCTCGTTTATGCCCGAACAGTCGTTTGACAGTATTGAGAACAAGGATGCAAGTAAAGCAAAGATACATCAGTTGCCTAATCAGTTTGCTGGACTGATTTCGTCCAACCAGAGGAACCGTGGCCAAGCACCACAACTACAGTTTTTTCCATCTCAGGATCCTTCAGCCTCTCAATTTAGTCATGGGAGCTCTTTGCAAGGGCATGGTGCTTCTATAAGTAAAGCTATGTCAAATCCACGACCTGCTATACAATTCTCTTTACCAGGAAGTATTGCAAATAACCCTTTACATTTACAGGGGGGAGCCCTTCCACCTTTACCTTCAGGTCGCCCTCCTGCTCCATCACAGATGATGCCTCATCCAAATGCTAGTCCATTTGTGTCAAGCCAACAGCCAACTGTTGGATATACTAATTTAATCAATTCACTTATGTCGAAAGGGGTGATCTCATTGGCTAACCAGTCCCCTGTACAGGTATCTAATAAATATCTATTAAAAGTTCATTTATGTCTTCTTTTTCCTTTCTCCGTTGATTTGATTTTGCAACCCAAGATTTCATCATTTGCTTTTAGGATTCTGTTGGAACTGAGTTTAATCCAGATATTCTGAAGGTTCGTCATGAGTCTGCAGTCAGTGCCTTATATGGCGATCTCCCTAGACAATGCACAACTTGTGGGCTCCGATTCAAATGCCAAGAGGAGCACAGTAGTCATATGGATTGGCATGTGACTAAGAACCGGATGTCTAAAAGTCGTAAGCAGAAGCCCTCTCGTAAGTGGTTTGTGAGTGACAGGATGTGGCTTAGTGGTGCAGAGGCATTGGGCACAGATTCAGTTCCGGGCTTTTTGCCAATTGAAACCACAGAGGAAAAGCAAGATCATGAAGAGTTGGCAGTGCCAGCAGAAGAGGACCAGAATACATGTGCATTATGCGGAGAGCCTTTCGATGAGTTTTACAGTGATGAAATGGAGGAATGGATGTATAGAGGAGCTGTATACCTCAATGCACCGACAGGAGCAACAGCAGGCATGGAAAGGTCACAGTTAGGCCCGATTATTCATGCTAAATGCAGATCGGAGTCAAGTATGGCCCCCTCTGAAGAATTTCGGTTGGATGAAGGGGTATGTGTTTCTCAAATTTGTTGTCTCTGCTATGCAGTTTACCTTCAGTTTTATTTTGACGAGATCATTGTCTACCACTTTAGTTTCTTTGTTTCATTTTAATATTCCTTGGTCACTAATTTTTGTCCGTGTGGTAATTATACATATGCTTCAAGCCGTCTTCAGTAAATATTATTCCTACTCTTTTTACTTTATATGTAGGGTGCCAATGAGGAGGGTTCTCAAAGAAAACGAATGCGGAGTTGACTAAAATTGATCAAGTTTTGTGCACTGTAACTTATGATTTTCCAGTAGTGTATGTTGTAAGTAGAGTTGAATCTTGCAATACCATGGCTTCCTACCAAAGTTATGTATATGTATAGTTGGACTAGTAACATGCATATTTTCTTGCAGCCAAAGGTTACATCTTAACCTACAATTATTTCGTCCGACATTTTTGTCCTCAGATCAAAAGCTATTACTAGTACTTTTTTATTCTTGGGATGGGGCACAGGATTTTAAAACAATGGAGCGGAGATGCTATCTGTTGGATCTGTAAATTACCACAGTTGCTGTTATTTAGCGGGTAATTCATATAGCTAGTATCCGTAAGCGCTTACTGTTTGTATTTTATCAAACTCATGCATAGATGAGAGCAGACTGCAGAGATTTGATATCTATTTCTTTTCCCTCTTTCTTCAATTGCTGTCATTTTAGTTTTTTGCTGTCTCAAGGAATGAAAACAGAGGTGAAAAAAAGAAGGAAAATTGTTAATTACTTTCATTTTATTTGAAAAATTATTTCAGAAATTAAAAATAGTTTTGAGTTGATATGACGATGAGAGAATGTTTAATTTTTTTAATATTTATATATTTATTAATATTGAAGTTTTATGACGAAGTTCTTAAAGGTCTTAGGAAGATTGATTCCAGATGCCATTGCGTTCATGTATCGGGTCAAATTGTTGGATGAGATTTAACATGTCTGTTCCTTGTGTCAACGGAACTTCTGTTGTGCACTAAAACAAATTATTTGATTGAAGAGTCGGGTTGTCCTTATTAGTATAACGACATCAAGATCCAACCATTTAGCTAACTACTAGGTATAATAAGTAAGAAGCAAGGGTATCCATGCCAGCGTAAGAAAACTCCAGTTGACGGAGCATTTGTAATCGCTGCACTAATAAAAAGTTAAGGTAGACCAAGGCAAAGAAAATGAGTAAATGGAGTTCTTTTTTAGGCCATACGAGCTTTCTGTTCTGTTGCAGCACTGCAGAGTGGCATTGGGCATGCGGACTGTCCTTAAACGAGTCAGCTCTGGACCCAGTCCAGGGTAACCCCTTCTCTTGCTTGATGGGTATCATCCCATTTAGTTCTTGAGTGGGGTTAAGACTCATGAAACTAATATCTGATTAGGGAAATCAATTATCAATTTACTAACTGTCCAGATTTAATGTAATATTATTATATTTTTAATTAAAAACCTAAGTTATGAATTGCCAAATGTTATGTTTTTAGTGGAGCAACATAATACTCCTGATACATAATAATTGCATGCGGAATTTGATGTGAAATTTACTAAACTCACAATTCAGCGTATGTGCAAGTGTACAAGTACAACAGATGTACATACAACTCGTTCAAATAACATGATTTTTAAAAACATTTTAAGAAATCCTTTTATAAATACCTATTCTTTTGTTCAAATTTAAAAAAAAAGACATTTTGATATAATAGACATATTTATGTCCTTTCTTCCATCATGAATTTTTAAGAGTTGATTTTTGAAATATAAGCAATGATTCTTTTTTCGCTTAAATTATTCTTCCATCATGAATTTTTAAGAGTTGAGCGCAACAAACTTTTTTTTTTTTGGTAATCTGTAGGAGAAAAACAACCCCACAGAGACTAAAACAAGGAAATTCTACGCAAAGAGCAAACCTCAGAGAAATAAGCTAAATACAATAACCAAATCCTAGTGGGAGGGGACGGGAAGGAACTAAAACTATTAACTAATGGATGATCTAGAGGGTACTTTGACAGCCAATCCGCACATCTGTTGCTCTCTCTATAAGAGTGGATCAGCTGAACTTCCTAATCCTTCATTAACCATGCTCGAATACGAGTCACTAGACGGGACTCTCGAGTTGCTCCGCCATCTCTGGTGAGCATAGTGATAACAGACAATAGTTTGGTACATGATTAAATCTTAATCATGTCATCAAAACGAGATCGTCGCCGGGGCAAAAGGTTATTCCCTTTTTTTTGGAAACTGGCAAAAGGTCATTCCTGAAAACAATGAACGAAGCCAAAAATTGGTCTATGAAACAAAAGGATAGAATTTTCAGAGAAAAAAAGTCCGAATCTGGTGATCAACCAACGGAAAAAACATTTGTCCTTTATAAAGATTTAACGTTATAACATTATATCATTTTAGATTTTAATCGTTGATTTCTGTCAATCAACAGTTAGGATTTATTAGGTCAAATTTATTAATTAATTAACAATAAATTTGACTCAATAAATCTTAACCGTTGAGTGGAAAAAAAGGGGAGGGGGGTTGATTTAAATTTTTTTTCTGGAGATGTTTATTTTTATGAGGAGATGGATAAGATATACCGGCACAGTGCCGTCTTGACTTGAGATTGACGGAAAAAACAAAAAAAGGATAAATATTTTTTTCCTTGACCAAAAGAAAAAAAAAGTTAGAAGAAGTTTTTTTTTTCATAAAAAAACTGTTTTCCTATTTAAGAACTTCTTTCCCTTAAAAAAATATTTGATTCGACTTGTTCTTTTTAGAGAGAAAAAAAAAACTGTACCAAACTAGTACTAGCATCAGGATAAGGTGTACAAATATCAATAACTGATATATAAAATACATGTGTTACTAACTACCCCGCAGTAATGCAGTGGGGTCTTATAATTTGTAGATCCGAATTCTAGGGTAAAAAGGAAGGGGACAATCTCATATTGTACTAGACTTATTTCTTTTTTTATTAATGATAATTAAATTTTACTTATTTAATGTATATGAAGAGAGAGAGATAGATACACAATTTTTATATAACCAGGTCATGAGAAATTTTAATATAAAAAAATTTACTCTCATGTTATCTTATGTAATATGAAAAAAATATACTCAAAAAAATAAATAAAGCGAGAGGTAATAGAAACATGAAATCTGAATAAACATTAAACATGATTGTTGACACTCATAGGTCCGTGATAAACACCTACTTCTCTATGCTCCAATCCAAAATCATCTACGTCAACCCCAATGAGCATCATGTCCCTTTCTGGTATAAATTCATAGCAAATACCAGACCCAGAGCATTAGAGTCAAGTCCCCACCTGTTGCAAGCCCAATAAATGCCAACACATCCCATATGGGTTCAGTAACTCAAGGCATATTTTCAGGACCATGGCAGCGGCCCATGCGTCTTAAAAGCAAGCCCTACACATCTAAACTAAAGGATTATTTTTTGAATATTTAAATAGACTTGAATAGTTACCCTCACCAGTAGTTACAATTTAATTAATAAAGGAAAAAATTTATTTTGTGATTTTGTGATATATCATTTGACCACCTGTAGTTTTAACCTTATCACTTAGACTTGTCATTTAACTCTCGTAGTTTCAAACTCTCACTTAGACATCTTGTGGTTAGAAAACTTTTCACTTAGATCACTTGTGGTTACAAAAAAAAATATTTAAAATAAATGTTCTCTCTTTTTTATTTTATTTCCTCACGTAATGCATTTAGGGTTTAAAAAATAAAAAGTAAATTTTTAAAAAATTCACTTATTTTTAATATTATTTTATTTTACCTATTTTTTATCCGATTTCATTATAAAATTATCTAAAGAAAGTAAATATTTTATTTTGATAATACATATTTAATTTATGTTAAATAATATTTTTTTAATTTCAAATATATTTTAAAAAAATTAAGATAATTTATAAATTAATTTCAGAATAAAACCTTGAAATATTTTTTAAACTATAAATACTGATAAGTCCAAAACTTAAGCATAGGAGGTTAAATGATAAAAAACCTCAGCAAAGTGGATTTAACTGATAAGTTTAAAATCACGTGTGATCAAATGATAAATTACAAAACCACTAAATAAAATTTTCCCTTTAATAAAAGTAGTTAGGATTTCAGCATTTGTTTTGAATTAGGATAGTTATCTACTTATCGTAATTAGGATTTCACTATTTGTTTTAAATTGGGATAGTAATTTTCTGACGCTTTATTTAAGGATTTAAAAGCAATGAAAATGGGTAGCCGAAGAAATATTCCATGCACAGTCTCTTTCTTTTCTTCTTTTCTGAACGACGTCCTTCACCAATATTCACCACCCATGCAACAATAGCCTCTTTGTGACCATTATTGGACAATATGGGTGTGGTCCTAACTCTGCTCTCGCCATATGCACGATCTGTTTCCCTTGTCTCAGAGCTCAAATTAATGCTGCATCCAACTATTTAGTAAATAGCGGACCATGTCTCAATTATTACAGCACCTACAATTGCATGACACACTGGGATTGCAGACTCATACACCTTTGAAGCTTTCAGTTAACAGCTTTGAGCTACTTATGTATTGTATATCTAACGTTCTAAAAATGATCCAGGTCTTCAAACTAGTGAAGACTTTGATTTACGGTTTGCTAGTCTAATTCTAAGTAAACTGCATGTGATACATAGATACCTAGATAACTTTTAAGAAAAAAAAATTCTTGTGTCATGTGAGATAAAATTATCTCATACAATCAAAAATCATAAAACAATATGGTTTTGAGGTTTGAGAAAAAACATAGGGAGCATTTTAAGAATTTTATTTCTCTATTTTTTTTTGTGGACATATGAATTTTATTTCTCTTTTGCAAATTGTAATGTAAATCTTCCCATTTGTTTTTCAAACCTTAAAACAATATCATTTTGGGATTACAGGAAAACACTAAACGCTCTTTTTAATATTTTGTAATATATTAAGCAATAAATTTACACAAAATTATAATAAATTAGATTGTTAAATTTTTAATTAATATAAAAGAATGTATTAGATGTCTTGGAAGATTTAAAAACAAATAATAAGAATCTAAATAGTAACCATCAATCAATGCCACATGAAATAAAGCTAAGAAATGATAATTATTATATTGCTTAAAGTTTTTAAGTTCAACATTGGACAATAAATAAAGGAAAATGATTTTCTTATGTTAAAACAAGTTTCTTACACACATATATAGAGAAGAGAGGAGAGAGAATATAGGAGAGAGAAATTGTATAAACTAATTCCATTTCTTTATATCTAAATGTAAGAAAATTGTTTTTATCTTAGGTAAGATAAGAAAACAATTCCCTATAAATAAAATATTGAAGCATATAATATATTAAAAACTAAGAGGAGACTACGTGTACAAATCTCACCAAGAAAGTGAATGAAACATTTAAGGGGTGTGTTTTCGTTATGTTATAACCCTTTTCTATACACACAAACATAAAGAGGTGAAAGAAAAGAGTGGTGAAAAAAAATAAAAAAAGTGGGACCGATGTGTTTTTGTGTGTATATAAGAAAGTGATATTATTTTCTTACAACATAATATTTGTTTTTTCCCAACATATAAACATACAAAATATATAAAACTAAAAGAAGCTAAGACAAGTTATGTTATGCTTTAAT